AACTGGACAGTAGGTGTGCCAGAAGCAGGCAGAGAGGTATGGCCAGCAGGCAGTTGGGCATCAGAGTGTGAGCACAGGAGTGTAGGCAGCACAGGAATGTGGGCAGCAGGAGTGTGAGCACAGGAGTGTGGGCATCAGGAGTGTGAGCACAAGAGTGTGAGCACAGGAGTGTGAGCTCAGGAACGTGGGCAGCAGGAGTGTGAGCACAGGAGTGTGGGCATCAGGAGTGTGAGCACAGGAGTGTGGGCAGCAGGAGTGTGAGCACAGGAGTGTGGGCAGCAGGAGTGTGAGCACAGGAGTGTGGGCAGCAGGCAGAGGTGTGAGGCTTCGGGCAGAGCATAGGAAATGTCGGGAGCCAGGACTGAATGAAGAGGCTGGAGCAGTACAGACCACGTTCAACAAAAGGGGACTGGGGCAGAGGAATAGCTTAAAAGGCAGGGCGTGTGTCTCGAGGTGTCTATGAGACCCTCGGCAGAACAGGGCAGCCCCTTGAGAACAGGGCAGCCCCTTGAGAACAGGGCAGCCCCTTGAGAGGGCTGACTGTGTGGATGGCCTTTTTACTTCAAAGGGCAAGAGTGATGGGATTACACTGCAGATCTATCAAAATTGTGAAATTCAGTGTGGGGAAAGGAAATAACATTCTAAACAGGATCAGCCAGCCACAGTAAGCAAGAAAAGACAAAGAATGGAATGGGCCCTCTGAGGTCCGAGGCAAGCACTCAGGCAAGTTGCCCTTGCCCCACTCCCCACCCCCCTCCCTGTAGCAAGGGGCTCTGCTAATCAAGACTCCTTCTGTTCTTTAGTGCTATTTCCAGAACATTCCAAAACCAGAAGTGTCCAGATGCTGAGAGGGACCACACGCACATTTCCAGTGTTGCATCTGGTTTTCTGAGTTGACTCTTTAGGAGTTCTGAGACCGGGGAGCCCACTGTCCACCCACACCCACACCCTGTTATCTTCTTCCTTTAAGGGAAAGGGCTCCCTGGAAACCCACGCTCAGGGCAGCACTTTGCTGCTGGGGCTGATGCAGGTTATGAGGTTTCCCCCACCCCAGCCCCATCTGTGCCTTGGCCGGAGGTTTACCTAGTGATGGTCTATAAACAGCGTCCTGATGCAGTAACCATGCAAAGCAGGCATTAGAGGAAATTTATATCCTGGGAGGAGTCAGGGAAGGGACTCTCGAGACCTGGTCCTCCCTGGCTCTGGCCTGGGCGGTGTGAGGCGTTTTGTTTAATGGTTCACTGACGTTGTTCAAGAGGCCGAGACATGGCAGGCAGAGAGTAGGAAGATCAAAGAGGCAGGGGCCTCCCCTGGGAATAAACATATGGAGTGGGCACCCAGGTACACTTTGCACACAGACAGAGATGCACGTGGGTACACATGCACACACATATGTGTGCATGTACAGTTTTTGTTGAGATGATGAAGTATAGGAGAGCCACGCCGTAGAACACAGACAGAACAGTCTCGAAGGTTCCCAGGGAGCAGCAGGCTGGGCGTCTCCTTCCGCACCTGTGAAATCAGTGTCCATCCAGATTTAAATCAGGTTCAGAACCTGAGTTGTGAGCAGGAGAGCAGGCTGGGTAGAAGGTGGAAGGGCCCCTCCCTGAACACACACACACACACACACACACACACACACACACACACACACACACCCCACACACATTCATGGCTAAAGCAGGGCGCCCCCTGGTGGTAACCAGGAAGGCAAATTACTGGCCAAAAGCAGGCTCTTGACTGGCACTGACTCATGTCCCTCCCAACTCCCCCCATTCCCCCGTCCACCCATCCCCCGCCTCCGTCAAAGGGCCTTGGAGGGAGGGGCTATGATGCTAACTACCATGATACAGCTAAGAAAAATACCAGCCCCATGGAACGATGTTTGTCTATGTTGACCAGGATTCTCCAGAGAGAATAGATAGAGCAAATGCATATTAAAAGGATGTTTATTAGATTGCTTACATTATATGGTCTGGGTAGTCCAACAATGACTGCCTTCATTTTGGAGAGGCTGAGAACCCAGCTCTGCTCAGTCTACAAGACCGGTTCCCCAACAGTCCCAATTTGGTGCTAGAGGCCTGGAGGATTCCCAGGGAGCCTCTGGTTTTCAGTCTGTGTCTGAAACCCACAAAAGCTGGGCAGTGCCATCAGTGACAGCACGCAGCCACCACAGAGCAGACGAATTTGCCAAGAGTGAATGAAGCAAGCAGACACAAAGGAAGTTTTCCAGAAGACGCCCACACTGAGTGTGCAAGTGAGTTGGAATGTTGGAAGCCCCCCACCTCCAGCATCTGTAGGAGTCAGCAGAGGCATCCTATCTCTGAGAACCAACATCTGGGAGCAGGCAGGGCCCCCCTCCTGCTTCCCTGCACATGCGCACACACTCACAGCACATCACTGTCATGAGCACCAAGTTCCCACCCTCATTCTTTTGTAAACATTCTCTTTGTATCTGAGCTTTCTGTCCCAAACTATGTTTGTCAGGACCCCAGGAGGAGCTTGAGGGTACATTCGGGATGAGTGACATATGAGAGGTTGACCCAGGCCAGGCGGTGGTAGTACATGCCTTTAATCCCAGCACTCGGGAGGCAGAGTCAGGTGGATCTCTGTGAGTTCGAGGCCAGCCGGGTCTACAGAGCGAGATCCAGGACAGGCACCAAAACTACACAGAGGAAACCCTGTCTCGAAAAACCAGAGAGAGAGACAGAGACAGAGAGAGAGAGAGAGAGAGAGAGAGAGAGAGAGAGAGAGAGAGAGAGATTGACCCAAGGGTCCACATGCAGAGGTGTAGACAGCATGTGGAGCATGGTACCTGGCTGCCTTGGGCTAGCACAGCCTACACTCCCTGCTCTTCCCCTTCAGACAGTGGTGCTCTTAGCGAAAACTGGGGACTCTGGGCCCTAAGGGCCTCTAAGTTAGGGAGCTGGAGTGCCAATGCCCCATCTCCACTCCCTCCATCTCCTGATTGTACCCCTGGCCAGACCCACAGGGAAACCAGAAGGCAGAGCCCAACGGATGGACTCAAGGGGACTGCTAAGCCCAAGGCAGTGGAAAACGGGAGGCAGTCTGGAGCAGGACCCAGCAGAACCCACACTAGAGTCCCAGCCAGGAAGCGTCCAGGTAGACAGCATCAGGGAGGTGGCCTTCAGTTGCCAAGTCCCCTGGGCAGCAGAGCACCTGGTGACCACATGTGGGGCAAAGAGGGGAGGTACACTTTGCTTTTATCTTGAAAACAGAGGCTGTCTGGGCCATATTGCCCAGATACTTATGATAAAGTCACTGAGGGCACTGGACACCTCTCCAGGTCTATGGAGCCCAAGGACCCAACATCTCCAGGGACTGTCACTATCCAGATGAACTTCACCCGGCCACAGGATTACCAGCCCCTGGACAGAAGAAGTGTCTCTGGCCTTCTCCTCGACAGCCACCCTGTGACTGTCCCCCCAGCCCCAATAATTCTTCTTTTTTTTTTCCTTTCAGTTTTTCAAGACAGGGTTTCTCTGTGTAGTTTTGGTGCCTGTCCCGGATCTCACTCTGTAGACCAGGCTGGCCTTGAACTCACAGAGATCCTCCTGGCTCTACCTCCCGAGTGCTGGGATTAAAGGTGTGTACCACCACCACCCGGCCCCAATAATTCTTAATATGTCCTTAAACTAATGCTTCAAATACACAGCATCAGACACACAGTTGGATTTTCCCCTAGAGGCCTGGAAGGGTCTCTCTGAAAGGCTGGCTATGGGGTATTTCTCTTTCCCAATCTCCACTCCTTGGAGAAGCAGAAAGACTTAGCTCTTATGAATTCCTAATCCTGGCCTTGGCTTTGGAAGGTTCCAGTAAGCCTCTTCCAGCATTATCTGGGTGCCTTCCATACACTTCCTTCCCCCGATTGTCTACATTGGTCTCGTCCCCCATTACCAAACGGGGAAACCGGCTTCTCAAACTGGAGGCCTGTGCTGTGTCCAGAACCTTCTAGCTTAGGAGTGGCTGACCGCTGAGTGGAACTTGTGTGTGGTACACCCGTACTCATGCACTCACACCCACAAATAAATGCATGCACCCCAGCTTCCTACACACCTCCTAGGCAGGATTGTCCTGTCACACCGAGTCCTGGACAGAGTGTGATGGCCTGATGGGCTAAAACACCTGACAGAAACAAAACTGAATGAAGGAAGGGTCTGTTTGGACTCACAGTCTGTGATGGCCGCAAAGGCATGGCAAAGTTCGTGGCAGTGGGGGCACGTGACAAGGCTCCTCACACCGTAGGAGACAGGAAGCAGAGAGTGACACAGAACCAGGGTTATACGACCTTCAAGAGGCCTGACCCTGGTGACCCATCTCTGCCAGACAATCCCCACCCCCTAAAGGTTTCATGGCATGCCGAAACAGCTCCATCCCTTGGGACCAAGTGTTCAAAACACAAGCCTGTTAGGGGACAGTTCAGACTGAATGTGTCATGTCATCTTTTATGGGCACCAAGCTCCTCACCAAGCTCCTCACATGAGACCTCTGGGGACACAGCCAAACCGTTGTCCCTTGTATTTGATGCTAGTTGGCAAGTATTGGTGACTATTTGAGTGGCATCTCCCCCCCCCCCCGACCCCACAGCCTGTAAGTTTCCTGAATGTAGATCCGGCGCCTGTACTCACCCTGTGTGCCCGCACTCAGCATGGGTTAAGCATTTGTATGTCCAGAAAAGGCCCTAGACTCTATCTTACATTCTTATGGATGATGTGGGTTTTTTCTTCCAATTAATTATTTTTCTATGTGTGAATCTATGTACTTCTTGTGTGTCTGGTGTCTTGGGGGTCAGAATAGGGTGTTGGATCTCCTGGAACTGGAGTGACAGACAGTTGTGAGCTACCATGTGAGTGCTGGGAATTGAACCAGGTTCTCTGTAAGAGCAGCCAGTGCTCTTCACCACTTGAGCCGTCTCTCCAGCCCAGATATGTGTGTTTTGATCATCACAGCTAATGATGTTTTCTTCTCTGCTTCCCCAGGAAGAGCCTCAGCCCTCTCTGTCCTGAGACCAAATGCACTCTTCTTGGAAGCTACCCATGCTCCTAACTGTGCATGAAGACCCCATGCCCACCACAGCCTCTTTTGGGTGAGTTAAGGGATCTTCAGTTGACTATGGGTCACTCTAGACTCCAGGAGGGCTGCATCCTGTCCTGGATCATGGCTGAAGGGCCATTTCACCTTAGGCCTGAAGAGCAAAGCTTCAATCTTAGTCCCCATGAACTTGTCAGGAGCAGCAGGTGTGGGCTTTTATGGGACTAGGCGGGGCATGAGGACACATGATCATAGGTGAGCTGTCTAAAACATGAACTTGAAAAGAAGGTGAAAGAACCAAACTTTGGCATCAGTACCCAACAGATCAGAGAAGTTGGAGTCGTGAAGACAGGGTCACCATGGGATTGACATCTGCTGGAAGACATCTAAGGGAAGCCTTGGGGAAACTGAGCCAGAGCAGAGTCAGGAGACAGGGCTCCACCCTGATGGACCAGTGCTGGCAGAAGAGCAGAGGGCCCTAACCTGTCCATCCTATGGTGGGTGCAGCAGAGATGTCCACCCCAGCAGGCCACTGAGAGTTGTCCCCATAATTCTCAATGCTCACTGGCCGGGCAGCCTCCTGACACTCCTGGGCTTTCTCGGAGTGCTGGCCCACCGAATGAATACTGAATGGCTGAGATGGGAGACTTGAGTCTCTAGTGGGCAAACAGCTCCCCCAAGCTGCTGCTAAGAACATGGGCTCTCCGTGTCCACAGAAATAGGGCCAAGGGCTGGAATGAAGATACCCGGGAGATTCCAAAAGAGGCTGCCTATTCAGGATGCAGGACAGCCTGCAGGTGGCGGCTTCTCTCTGCTTTGTGATGCCTAGCAGCTGGAAGAGGCTGAACCATGGGAGCAGACACAGCACAGGCTGACCGGGGTTGGCAGCTCCACTTGCAGAGGATTTACGAGTGTTCACACCCTAGGGTGTCTGGCTTCCCGCGGCCAGCACCCTGTGAAGCCAGGAAGGTGCTGTGAGGCATTTAATGACCTCACTTTGAAGGTCACGCACCGTTACTGCCACCATAGGTCAGGCGCAAGGCATTACGTCCAACCACATCCATGGGAAGATGTAGCCGAAGTTTTCCTATGTCCCACCCAGTCCTGCAGCCGCTCAGACCCAAATAAACACACAGAGGCTTATATCAATTACGAATTGCATGGCCATGGCCTATGGCTCAATTTTCTTGCTAGCTAGCTCTTATAACCAAACTCAGCCCATTTCTAATAAATCTATATGTCACTATGTGTTCTTTGGTTTTGCCTATGTGCCATTACATGCTGCTCCCTGGATGATGGGATGGCGTCTCTCTGCCTCTCCTTTCTCTTCCTCCTGTCTCTCTAGATTTTCCCATCTAGCTCCATTCTGCTCTCCCACAGGCCAATGCAGCTTTATTTATCAACCAATCAGAGCAACACATATTCACAGCATACAGAAAGACATCCCATAGCAGGAAGAAGAATTGGACTCTGCTGCCCAGAGGGAGCTATATCAGAGAATTTTTTTGTAGCAAGGCATTCTTCCAGAACATAGATCTTACCCCTTGGGCCTTCCATAACATCCTCAGGGCAACAATGGAGACCCTCATTCAGTCTCACCTCTGGCATCTCCCACACATATCTGGGACCACCTTCCAAACATTAACCTCACTTCATGACCTCAAAATGGATGAGATGGGTTCTACCATTAGCTGCTTTGCCCTCCCCCATCCTCAGGACTTTTTAAACTCCTTTGGGACCAGCTCCAGGACTCCTAGTGATTGTGATGAAGATGGAATACTGGGTCTTTGCCCTCCTGAAATCACCACCTACCTAAGACTCACCACACAGGCGCCCATGGCTGTTAGGAACAGGGCAGGTGACAATGAGACTTCTTATCCCCGTGGGAGCTACAGGGGCTCCAGACACCTCAGGGTCAAAACTGTATCACCCATGAGTCTAAGCCTGGCTCTACATTGGCGCCAGCCCAGAAGACACTCAAGGGCTCTTTCCAGGAAATCCCAGGATGTTGAACAGAACCTTGCCAGGTATACTGCCTAGTGCTCCTCTTACCTGCCCAGCAATGGGTCTCTAGGAGGGGGCCCCCTGCCTCTCCCAGCACCCATTCTACAGGGAACATGCCAATCACACTCGCCTCCTGGGTGTGCATTGGGTTTTTAATGCATCTTCACAATCTCTCTTTGATTTGAACCTTACAACCACCATACAAGGCCACACAGGAAGAGAATAGCACACTGGTCTAAGGAAGGAGAAATGGAAGCCCAGAGATGTCAAGCAACATATCCAAGGCCACACAGCTAGGACTGGAACCTAACATTTGTCCAAGCCAAGTGCCTCTTTGCTGAACACAGAGATACATTCTCTCACTCTAAACACTTCTGGGAAGGGGTTTACCTCATGGTGTGTTAGTGTCACCTGAAAGTGAGAGAGGAGTCCAGGAGTTAATGCCAGCGAGGGGTCATCGAGGACCTGCAAACGGTGGTACTAGTTTGACATTGATTTCAATTTTCATAGGTTGACAGAAACAGATAATTACTCATGTTTGTTGAACCAAACGCAGTGCTTTGGACTTTTGAGATCTCTACTATAATCCTAAGAAGTTTATTTTATTATTCCCATTTTACTGGTTAGGAGTTCAGAGACATTAAGTAACAGTCCAAGGTCACACACACAGTTAACTGATAAAGGAGCTAGGACTTGAACCCAGGTCCAAAGCCTCGCCTTCTCTCTTCCCATGCAACCTCTGCTGACCTCTGATTTGCTGCCAGTGGGCACGGGCATAGATGTTCCCTCTGCCGGAAGACACAGGTTGTTCAGGGAAACCGCTGTGGTCTTGGGGCCACGCTGCAATCTCTCCACCAGGCATGACATCACTGTTCTAATCTAATTCAGTGCTCATCCATGACCCAGCGTTGAGAGGCTGAGGGGTGACAGCCCCTTAGGCAAGAGGCTTGAGAAGGTAGTGGGCACATCCTCTGATCATGGAGACTTCTGGGGGGTCCAGGCACGGGACTCACGATTGTTAGTGTAGCCAAGGAAGGATTCCTACAGAGCTCAGACTAAGACATGCCATGTTCCTTTGGTTCCATGAGCAGAGGACCTCGCAGAGGGCTCTCTCAAGTGTTCCATGTGCTGTCCACAGAGGGACTGGAGTCCGGCCACCTCCCACATCCTCACTGCCCTGAGGAGCCATTAGCTCAGTGGGTGGACCTTTTGGTCCCCCTGAGTTTCTGTACTCCTCCCTTCCCTTCCCCTTCTCCCTTCCCCTCCCTCTCCCCTCCCCTCTGTGGCCTAAGGGTACAACCGTCTCTTCTCCCCTTTCTTTCAGCATGGAAATGTTCAACCTCACCACACACGTCCTGGGGTCTGCTCTTAACAGGACCCTTTCAGAGGATAACAACTGCCCAGACACCGAGTGGTGGAGCTGGCTCAATGCCATCCAGGCTCCCTTCCTCTGGGTCCTCTTCCTGCTGGCTGCACTGGAGAACATCTTTGTCCTCAGTGTGTTCTGCCTACATAAGAACAGCTGCACCGTGGCAGAGATCTACCTTGGCAATCTGGCCGCTGCGGACCTCATCCTGGCCTGCGGACTGCCCTTCTGGGCCATCACCATCGCCAATAACTTCGACTGGCTGTTTGGAGAGGTGCTGTGCCGTGTGGTGAACACCATGATCTACATGAACCTCTATAGCAGCATCTGCTTCCTGATGCTTGTGAGTATCGACCGCTACCTGGCACTGGTGAAGACCATGTCCATGGGCCGGATGCGCGGTGTGCGCTGGGCCAAAATCTACAGCCTGGTGATCTGGGGCTGTACAATGCTTCTGAGTTCACCCATGCTGGTGTTCAGGACCATGAGGGACTACAGGGAAGAGGGCTACAACGTCACAGCCTGTGTCATCGTCTACCCATCCCGCACCTGGGAGGTGTTCACCAATGTGCTGCTGAACCTGGTGGGTTTCCTCCTGCCCCTGAGCGTCATCACATTCTGCACGGTGAAAATCATGCAGGTGCTGAGGAACAACGAGATGAAGAAGTTCAAGGAGATCCAGACAGAAAGGAAGGCCACTGTGCTGGTGCTGGCTGTCCTGGGGCTCTTCGTGCTCTGTTGGGTGCCTTTCCAGATCAGTACCTTCCTGGACACGCTACTGCGTCTCGGCGTGCTGTCCGGATGCTGGGACGTGCATGTTGTCGATGTCATCACACAGATCAGCTCCTACGTGGGTTACAGCAACAGCTGCCTCAACCCTCTGGTGTATGTGATTGTGGGCAAGCGCTTCCGGAAGAAGTCCCGAGAGGTGTACCAAGCAATGTGCCGGAGGGGAGGCTGCATGGGAGAACCCATCCAGATGGAGAACTCCCTGGGGACTCTGAGGACCTCTATCTCGGTGGAACGCCAGATCCACAAGCTGCAGGATTGGGCAGGGAACAGACAGTGAACAGAGGCCGCCAGGCAGGACTCCTGTCAAGATGTGTGAAGACTGGTGGGGCCCGGGCTACTCAGCCTGGGTTCAGGAAGGAGCTCGAAGCATCCTAGCCAGCCCCAAGGAAACAGGCTGATGATTCTAACCTGTCTCATGGCATGAGCATGCTGTGAGGGGTGGGTACCCTGGAGTACAATGGGATTATTCTTATTGTCTGGCACTCTGGGGCCCCATGAATGGAGGGGTCCTGGGTTAGGGATGGGAGTGACAGCACCTCTTTCCCACAGTGGGTTAGGGAAGGACAGATCTCCAGGAAAACTGTTGCCAGCTTTAGTCCTGTGGCTACATGTGCAGGAGGCCCAGCTGACTTGCTTCCGGGTTTCATGGTTTGATGATTTCTTGGTCTTCTGAAGGTTAGCTCTGAGGAGTCCCTGGTAAGGCCCCAAAGCCTGGGATCCCATCACTCCTCTCACCCATGGACAAGGTGGACAGTGAAAAAGACACCCACCCCACCCCAGCGTTTATGGAGCGCCTGCTGAATGCACAGCGTTGGACACTGTGGGCAAGAGAGGAAAGAGATCCACAGTGAAATCTGTCTTAAAGGATGCCCAGGACCTGCAGTCCCTGGAAGGTGTGTGAACACGAGGAACTGTAGGGGTAACGGACAGCACAGCAGCCTGGTCCTGCCCTCCACTTCCTCTGCTGTAATGTGAGAGTATCTTGTGCTTTGGAAAGTGATAGGTGTCATGTGACTGCATGGCATCAGGGCACACATCACATGGAGACACTTGGCACGGAGAAAGTCACTGAGGCTCAGGAACTACCCTGTGGGGAACAGTGTTGAAAAACACAGGACGTGCCTGCAGGTGTCTGAGGCCCTCACTGGCTTCTGCCTTTCCCTCCCGGTACCCCACCCCCATGCACACACAATAGGCATTTGGCACGTGGGGAGGGCGGGAGAGGGCAACTGTTCATGTTGCACTGAGACAAAGAAAAAGAATTCTCATGGGACCTGCCCAGGGAAGCCACAGCTCACAGCCTGGCTGCAAATCGGTAGCTGTCCAGGGGAGTCCAGGCTGCTTGCAGGGTCCCTTCCTGTCTCAGGACCAAGGGGTGCCAATCACTGGCTTATTTGAGAGCGGCTCACAAAAGGGCAGCTGACCCACCCTAGGTCACTTATCCCAGGGCATAGATTCCAGGCCCAACTCCCTAAATGGCCACAGATTGCCTCATGAGTGTTGGCAGGGGTGGCCTGAGCTGCCTAGGAACTCTGACCTGAGAACCCCCCCCGGGGGGGGGGGGCTGGGCGGGGACAACACACCTGCACACTGAACAGGTCTTCCACCAGAGATGCTAGGATGCCCCAGATGGCTTCAGGGCCAGTGGGTTCCCCAGTAGAGCCTATTCCAAGGGCCTTGGCTGGGCTCTGTTGTCAGAGGTGACAGTTGTCCCAGCAACCCTGCCAGAGACTCGGGTGACAGACGCCACACTCCCAGCTCTAGAATCTTCCACGGGTGTTTCTTTTTCCATGTATCCGTATCAGCTACTTTTCTTGTAGCTGTGACAAATTACCCGATGGAAGCAGCTTGAGGGAGAGAAAAGGTTTATTTTATCTCACAGTGTCAAAAAGGTTTTGGTCCACTGTAGCAGGGGCAGTGTGGTCACCAGAGCATGTGACAGAGACATCTTACAGGAGCACAGATCAGTACCCAGAGACACAATTGAGACCAGGGGCAGGGTATGACCTTCAAAGGCGTGCCCCTAGTGACTTTCCCCAACTAGGTCTGACTTCCTAGAGGTCCCATAGCTTCCCCAAATAGGGCCAGCAGCCAGGGAATGTGAGCGCAAAACATGGACAAGGGCAGAGGAAATTCCAGACTCGAACTGTAACAGTGTGGTTACAGACTGGTCCCTGTGACTAACGGTACTCCAAGCCCCTGGGGGGATATGAAGAACACACCACACAGTCTCCAACACCAAGCCACTTAGGACCTGGCCACTCAATAGCCCAGGAGCTGTGGAGACTCAGGGAGCAAGCAGAAGTCAGTGGTGTTTCTGGCTAGGCTGGAGCCAAGGGAGCACTTATGGAGGACCGGGGTGGGGGTCAGGATACACCTCGAATCTAGACCAATCTGACTTTGAATTTCCTAACAGAGAAGATCCCGGGAAATTCCTTTTCTACCCCATCCTCCCTGGCCCTCCTCCAGTAAACCTAACACTTGTAGCTGGAAAATGAAAACAGGTGATGTATGAAGCGGATGCTAGGATTCTGTGCTAAAGTGGAACCCAACCATGCCCGTACTGTAAATGAGAAGCAGCGTCCAGTCCTCAGAGGAGATGTTGGTGGACTGTGGCCTCCAGGAACACAGCTGGCCTCTGCCTGGGCTCCTCAGGGTGGCTGAAGGTCTGCGCCTGGGTCTCTGCAGGAGGAAAGCCCCCTTGTGCTCTGTGTGGACACCCTGAAGAGAAATGGTGTCCTGTGGAAGACCCAGAGAGCTTTGCAGAGGAAGTGGCTGGGGCGCCGATGAGCGGGGAGCGCTCCGTGTGAACGCTCGCCTCTTCTGTACGTTGGAATAAACAGACGAATCTTACATAGTGTTTCCCTCTGTCACACTTCCTGAACCCCTGAGCTCTGGGATACTGACTCTGCCAGTTCCAGAAGCTTCTGTCATGGAGAAGATCAGTGGTCTCCAAGCATGTCCCTTATGAGTTAGAAGGGGAGGGGGGACATGACACACAACACACAATTTGTATAATTATTAATATTCATTGAAATATGCACTCTTAAATACATTAAACAAACAGTATTAGAACTATTTAAAAAATGCATCTTGGATATTTTCCTCCACACTACTTTTCTCCACTGATAGCTCATTACTAAACCCCTTTCAGATGCCTTATCAGAGAGTGCCAGGGATGGCCAAGTCCAATCATTCATTTCTATGAAACACTTTCATTTGACCTTCACCTCAAGTCAAGAGCATCCTGTATGGTATCAAGATGAAAAGCCACGGCATGTATATTCCCCGTGATGGCGATCTCAATGCATTCCATTCAGGTACCAGCTCCATTCTCCATGTTTCCATTCATTCACTCATTCATCAATAAAACTTCATTCTGTGACCCTACAAACAGCACTGCTCCGTCCATCCATTCCAGAAACCTAGGGCTCAGTATTCACTGCATGCCCGTCTTGTCCACCCCTGAATGGATAAGCATTCCTTTCAGGTTCTGCCCCCTTGATGTTTCTGGGTCTTTCTATGACCGATCATCACGTCTTACTGCTTCTCACCTCCAATATTAGCTATCTCCTAATTCTCATTCTTCATTCAATAGCAACAGCGTTTTTCAAGACTATACTTCCAGGAGGCTGTGATCATGAGGACCAGGTCTTTGAGAGCTCAGGGTTCAGAGTCAGGGAGATGTGGAGTACCATTCTGGTTCTGCCCTGGGCTCCCATTTGATTCTCATCCATGTCCTGGTAACTTTAAAACTGGAATGAGCAATGGTATCAATCAAGTCAGAGAATCGCCAACGGGGTTCATGTGGGAGAGTGTCCGGCACATACTTGACAGAATGAACTGCCAACGGGGTTCATGTGGGAGAGTGTCTGGCACATACTTGACAGAATGAACTGCCAACGGGGTTCATGTGGGAGAGTGTCCGGCACATACTTGACAGAATGAACTGCCAACAGAGTTCATGTGGGAGAGTGTCCGGCACATACTTGACAGAATGAACTGCCAACGGGGTTCATGTGGGAGAGTGTCCGGCACATACTTGACAGACTGAACTGCCAACGGGGTTCATGTGGGAGAGTGTCTGGCACATACTTGACAGAATGAACTGCCAACAGAGTTCATGTGGGAGAGTGTCCGGTACATACTTGACAGAATGTATGTCATCTGTGATGGTGATAATGACAGTGACGATGGTGGCAATGATGGCGGTAATGCAGAAATGATGGGATGAAGTTGTTGCAGAGAATGGTGATTGTGGTGGTGATGGTGATGAGGACACTCTCCACAAGGAAACCTTTTATATGGCCCACTCCTCTTGGAATTAAGCTACGTGTTCACATATGGCTTGCAAGACCCTGGGTAATCTGGCCCCTGTCTATCCGCTGGCTCCATCTGTTCCATCCCACCCATTCTCTACCCTCCAGCTACGCTGGGCTCAAATGCCTAGGCAGATCTCAGGGGACACTCCACTTCTCCTTAGGTGGCATTCCTCTTGTCAGCCTACACCCCATACTCAGTACCCCACCTCTGAAGTGCCCGAGGGAGATTCCTGCTCCAGGGGATAAAGATGTGGGCACGACAAACCACCCACTTAGGGCACAAACGTGTATGATCCTGAGGGAAGCCAGGGGCTAAGGCTAGAATCTCAAAAGTCAGATCTAGATATGGGATTGTCCACCCTTCTCCCACCACATAGGCCCCTCTCTGGGCTCTCGGAAGTAAGATCCATCGGCGGAGTTCCTGGCAGGCCTCAGGAAATCAGTCAAGAGCAGGAATTCTGCATCTATCTGCTCTGGCCAGGGCCTCAGCCAAGGCCAAGTGAAGATACACACACACACACACACACACACACACACACACATCTGCATGCCAGATGACCCAATAGGAACTCACACTAGGTCATGGATGATGGCTCACTGATTAGGAAGCCACTGAACACAGGCTTCATAGTTCAGAATGTGAAGGCTCTGCTTCCGAGAACTCAGCAGTGCGTGCCTCTGTCTCTTTGCTACCCAGTCTCTGACCTCATTGCCAAGCCTCACACAGCCCTGATCCCTCACCCAGGTCCAGGGAGGATGTGGGGGTCAGGGATGAGCAGCAGTGGTCAGGAGTTGGCAAGGACAATGGCTGAAAGCTCAAGTTTGTGGGATTTGGCTGAGGCCAGGCCTAGGTCAAGCAGGCCCATGGAGTGTTTCACACAGAGCTAAGAAGTAAGGGCTTCATCCTCACCACACCAGTCCTCACCTCTCCCCATGGAGGTCAGCAAGGTCAGGAACTCCCTGGGGTCCATAGTTCTTAAGAAGGGTCTTAGGGAGCCCCAATGACTCTGGGGTATACAGGACTTAACCAACAAGAACCACCAGGTATCACAGAAAGGACCTCCAGGTAGTTCCTCCCATGAATTACTTCTATACCAGGGCCTGGCCTGCTCATACTACAATCAACAAACTGTCTTGGAGCCCTCGTGAGTACAGAGGTCCCCCATTTACAATTGTTCTACTTAGAAATTTTCAACTTTACAATGGCACCAGGCTTTGACTGTCCAGTCAGAAACTTTTCCTAGGCTAGTGATACATCTGAGTATCTCTCTGCACTGGGCAGAGATACCACAGCCCAGGGGCAGCTCCAGAGTCACAGTCATGGAGGGAAACGACACACTATGGAGCTGTGCTACCAGGCTGAGACATTACGTGGCATTGATGTATAGCACAAATTTTCCATTCATAGTGTTTTCAATTGATGATGAGTTTGCTGAAATGAAGTCCCATCGTGAGTGGGGAAACACGTGACTTTATGCTGATACACTCATATAAATTTGTTGAGATGTAATCCATATGCCCTACACTTCCCTTGTCTCAGCTTTTAGTTATTTACAGAGTTGCACAACCACCGCCACTATTTAATTCCAGAACATCTTCATCATCCCAAAGTGAAATCCCAGATCCATTAGCTGTCGCCTCGGATTCCTTCCGTCCCACAACTTCTGGTACCCACTCATCTCTGTCTCTCCTTTTGCCCCCCTCGGACATCTCACGTTGGCATACTCATGTGTGAGTGCCGATGGTGTCTGGCTTCTCTCACCTGCTTCCCACTGAGATGCGACAGTTGTCGATGTCCCCACGTGACCCGAGCTGGCCACTTCACTCCACTTCTCTCCCCTGCCTTTGGCCTCAGTTTCCCTAACCGCAATATGAGAGTTAATTCTCTAAGCAAGAACATCCCCAGGGAGGGTGTGACTCTGGAAGGGGGGGTTTGGAAAACTGCAGGGGGTGGTGTCAGGGAGACAAGAGCTGTCCAGTGGTCGGGCCAGGCTCCTGGCTCCCGTCTCAGCTCACCACTTCATGGCTGGAGGAAGTCGGGGGAGGTTCGTTAGCTCCTCTGCCTGTGTTTTCTCGTCTAGGAAAGTAAGGAGCCGGGTGCTGTGACAACTGGGTGAGATCACCATTGCTGGGGGATCCCAGTGCGTCTCCCCAGGAAAGGAAGTCCACGGTACGGGCCCACTGACAACAGCAGCTTGGCAGAAGTACGAGGTTAAAGTGAGGTTATCCTGGAGCCGAGCGGTCAGACAACTGCCACGATTCCAGGAGAGAGGAGGGCCCAGAGTCAAAGGGAAGGAGGGGACACATACTAGAGCGATGTGCCATGAGCCTGTGCGTACCAAGAGTGACCACAGCCACAAGGATCTGAAGGACCAAGGAAGAGGCCCCTCAGGGCCTCCGGCTGCCACAGTCCCAACATCCCTTCCCAAACACGAAGGAAAGCATCTTGAGAAAGACTAGCGCTGTCCAGCCTATTGAGTTTCACAGATTTTATGAAGCGAAAGAGATTGGAGCCTTTCCCAAGGTCACACAGCATGTCAGAGGCCATCCCAGGCTCCCAGATCCAGGAGCATAGGCCCGAGACCGCTGGGCTTGTATACCCATCTCTGCAGATCCAGAACCTGTGCCAGCCCACTTCTTTCCTCCCCCCGGCTCCCAGGGGCCGGTGTCTCAACCCAGGCTAAAGAGAAGTTGAAAGCTCCACCTCTCAGCTTGCAGCTCACAGTCACCAAGCCCCTAGGGAAATGCTGTTGTTTTATAGACGATGCTAAACCATGACAGAGGTGGTTCAGAGCCTCCTGAGGATACTGCCTTTCCACAGTGTCATCCGTGTGGCTCCCCCAGTGGGACAGTAACAGCATTTGCTCTTCTAAGGTTGACCTTAGTCATGCTTAGGTCATGTCCTAACGCCGGGTAGTTTTATGTCAGCTTGACACAAACTAAGGTCATGTGAATGGAGGGAGCCTCAATGAGAAAATAGCTCTATAAGACTGGGCTACAGGAAAGCCTATAAGGCATTTTCTTAATTAGTGATTGATGGAGGAGGGCTTAGTCCATGGTGGGTGGGGCCATCCCTGGGCTGGTGGTCCTGGGTTCTATAAGAAAGCAGACTGAGTAAGCCATGGGGAGCAGGCCAGTAAGCAGCGCACACACACACACACACACGCACACGCACATGCACACGCACACGCACATGCACACGCACACGCACACGCACACACACCATTGCCTCTGCATCAGCTCCTGCCTCCAGGTTCCTGTCTTGTCCTGGTTTCCTTCAACGATGAACAGATATATAAAAGTGTAAGCCAAATAAACCCTTTCCTCCCCAACATGGTGTTTCATCATAGCAATAGTAACCCTAACTAAGACGATGGAAGACAGTCATGTAGTCCTCCTGAGCTGACAGGACCACAGTCATGTGCAATGGTGAAAAGTGAAGTAGACTCTGTTAGGAGCCCCCAGTCCAGTTGCCTCCCTGGGGTATGGCCTGCAGCTCTGACTGTATGGTGACAGATCTGCAGCTGAGGA